GGAGAGCGCGTCAACAGGGGAACAGTTTAGGAATTTTTTTCCATTGAAGTTTCAGGAACTGGACTGGAGATGCTCAGTTAGTGGAGTGGCTGCCTAGACATTACAAAACCCTGGGTCCCATCCCGAACATAGCATAAAACCAGTCATGATGGAGCACCTCTGTAATATCAGCACTGGGGAGGTGAAGGCACGAAGCTCTAAAGTTCAACGTCATCCTGGGCTACATAGCAAGTTTGAGGCCAGCCTAGGCTACTTGAGACTCTGCCTCAACAAACAAAACTCCTGGAACTGTTTCCACCTCCTAGTGTGTGAGTGTGTGTAGTGGTGGTGGGTGCTCTTAGATTGGGATTTGGGAATAAGATTTTCAGCAAAACTCTTACCAGATGTTTGAGAAAAAAAAATAGTAAATAGTTACATCTTAGACTTGGGACCAGGTTGAGTCCCTTTGGATCTCTGACCCTATTTCCTATAGATACCAGTATTAATTTGCCACATGCTTTGACGTTTAAGAATGGCTAATGAAAATGACAGGTTAAATGTAAGCTACTATTGATTGGTTGCTAGTTTGCCACCAAGTTTATATGAAAGATTTATCTTCAAGGGCCTGCCCTGCATCCACTGATCAACAATGTAGATGTAAATTGTGCCAAAGAAAGGTGTTCTCAATGGAAAAGGCTAATTCTACTTTAAATACAGTGCAGGGAGCCTCTGAAAGTGCTACCTCTGTGTGCTCAAGGTTAAAAAACAAGAAAACTTCTTTGCAAGCTAGTTAACTTTGCTCAGGACAGAACTTAGCTCAGTGGGCATGATGACATTGAGGAACTGTGGAAAGTCTCCCCACAAAGTTTTCTCATTTTTTGTTTTGTGGTTAATTCCAGCCCTGGAGTGGGATTCCTTGGAGGGATGATACTGGACGAACTACCAATCATCAGTCCCTAGGAGGGGGTTATTGGAAAATGGGTGAAGGATGCAGATAGTCAACCTCAGCACCCATACAAGTAGTATCTATGTGCAGGGATCACTGCACACCTTGCTGGGATTTAACTGAAGTAGGTGATTTAGGTAATTCATCGGGAAAAACCAACAAAGGAAATCAATAGAAAGTTGGGTAGAGGGAATAACTTGGACTGAGCTCTGATCCCTGCCTGGCAGCTTATGCCCACCAACTACACTTTTTTAAATGGAATTGCCTCACTGGAATATCAAGAATTTTTGTTTGTTATTATGAATGATGGTGATCAGTTGCTTTTCTCCCAATACTTAGCTGAAAAGGGTCACTGAGGTCAATGGAGGGTAAAGGGGTAGGTAACAGTTGTCATTTGCAAGTTGGGGCAGAAAGACAGTGTCAGAGGGTTGTGCTAGCCTGAAAGAAGAATGCAGGGCCAGGAGATTCCAATTGGGGGGAGGGGGGTTCTGCAAGAAGAATCACTAGAGATCAACGATCAACATCCCCCCTTCATCATATCCCTCGGTGACAAAATTTCTACAGAACGCTGCCTTCTGCTGGAGCTCCCCATTTATGTATGCATCCCCCCAATAAACATGCATACACCAAAGAGTGTACTTTTTTCTAGTTTGCCTTTTCCTAATTTAATGGTGAAAAGTGGATGGGTAGCACTCTGGAACTGTGGTTTTTTTCCTGCTTTCCACTATGAAAACACAGAAATTGAAGTGTTCATTAATTTTCACTTTTATCTTTTGCGGAACTTGTCTACTTTATGCATGTTTTCAATGATGTCCTCCTAAGAACTCTCGGGAATTTCTGTGACCATTTCTGACTAATTGTTATATTATTTCCTATCCAGGAAAACATCTCTTTCATAGATAGGATTTCTTTTACTGCAAATTACTGAATTTGAGATGCATAATGCAGTCAGAAGTAGATGTTATTTAGCCATTTACAATTAGGATATTATTTCCTTTGAAGTTTAATTATTGATGAATAGTAATGAATGTAATACCAATGATAATTTCAAAATGATGCTTATTAGAGGAAATAAACTTCATAGACATTTCCAGAAGGTATTTTTTATTATCAAGCAAGACAGAAAAATGATTTTATTCAAGTTTTCAGGGAAACTATGCCTAGTTCAACTAAAAAAAAATTGTTTTTTAAAAATTAAAATTACCCAAAGTTGTCTTTATTTGGCTCCTTAGGACAAAATTGCTTTAATTACCAATTAATTACAAAAATTTATGCTTTCTTTGTTATTCCAAATATGTTATTAGCACCCATAATTAAAGGTAAAACTAGCTATTTTAACCCCATGTGCCTCAACTCTATAAACTTCCTAAGTAAGGAACAGAACATTTTGTATTGCATCTTTTAAGAATATATAAAATCTACTCACAGTATATGTACAGTTTGATCATTTTAGTCAATTTTTATAAGACTATAACTATAGCTAACATCCAGCTTTATCTTCATCACTATCAAAAGCTCCTATACCCACAGGCAGTACTAAACAACCTTTGATCTGTTTCCATAGTACAGTTTCTGTCCTTACAATTGAGATTCTTCTAGAAATTTCAGACACGTGAAGTTGTGTACTATGGAGGTTTTACTTATGGCTTCTTCTGCTTAGCATAGTGCACTTGGTATTCACACACATTGCACTATGTACCCACAGTTCCTTCATTTTTATGTTCAGCAGTATTCTAAGTGTGTAGATATATATTTTGGTTTGATCTATTTAGCAGTTAAATTATTGGACTGGTAATTTATTCCCATTTTTGATATATTGCAAATAGTTCATCTACGAATATTATTACATGGAACTTTTGGCAGACATGTAGCTTCATTTCTCTTGGTTAACTACCCATGTAAATGACCCATTTGCACAATAAATATGTATTTGAAACCTGGCTGTACCATTTTACATACCTCCCAACAGTTCCACATCCTCCCAAAACTTAACATTATTAACTTTTACTACAGTCATTTTAGTGGCATATAGTGATATCTCATAGAGTTTTAATAAGCATTTCCTGATGGCTAATAAAATTGTCCATGTTATCTCATACCTCTCGGCCACTCATAAGTCTCCTTGATGAAATGTTTATTTTTTCCTTTTAAAAACATTGGATTGCCTTCTTTCTATTTAGTTATAAGAGGTCTTTAGTCTAGATATGGCTCTTATCAGATAAATAATTTCACTTGTTTTCAGAGTGTGTGGCTTTTCTCTTTTCTCAGTGACTTCTTTTGAATATCAAAATTCTTTATTTGGATAAAAATCTAATTAGTCAATTCATGTTTTATATATAGAACTGTTCACCTATGTTTTCTTCAATGTTGCCTTCTAGAAGTGTATAGTTTTAGCTCCTTCATAGATCCATTTTGAGTTAATTTTTATGCATGGTATGATGCACAGGTCTATGCTCTTTTGTCACATTTAGATATATACATGTTGTCATTTGCTATAAAAAAACCTATATTTCCCTAGAATTGCTTTGGAATTATTGTCAAAAACTAATTTAACATAAATACCAGGTGTTTTTTTAGATTTTCTAGTCTATTGCATTCTCAAAGTCTGTATTTAAGTCAGTATCACACGCCCTTGACTTTGTAGCTTCATAGTAAATTTTGGAATTGGATGGTATGAGTCTCTCATCCAGATTTGCCCTTCATTCTCCATTGTGTTCAATATCTTAAATTCTTTGCATTTTTTACATAAACTTTAGGACAAGCTTCTCAATCACTCTGAAGAGCCATGCTAGGTTTTCACAGAGATTGAATTGAATTTGTATATCAATTTAATAATACAAGCCATGTTTGAATAGCGAATCCTCTGAATCTTAAGAAGAGAATTTTCTCCATACATACAGATTGAACTCGAGTCCCAGCAGAAATTTTGAGTTTTGTATATATAAGTTATGCACATTTCTGTTTAATGTCTTCTTACTTACTTTATTAGTTTTAAAAGGAATTGTTTTCTCACTTTTATTTTTAGACGGTTTGTTATCGCAGGCAGAATAAATTGAATTCTGTTATTACAGGGAAAATAAACTGTACTTTTATATTGGCCTTGTCTTATGCATTTTAAATCTTGCTCATCAATCTTAGTAATTTCTCTCTTAAAATTTCTTATGAATTTATGCATATAAATGGCATTCAGGGACCAATAAGGGTAAGAGTCCTTGCCCTGCAAACCTAATACCTGGTCCCATAATAGGAGCACCCACACTTCCACACATACATCATACATGCACACACATCATACACTCATACACATGTGTGTACACAGACAAGAATAATAAAAAAAAAATTCCAATGGCATTTTAGCCTTAGCTGAGCGTGGTGGTACACACCTGTGACTCAGAAGACTGAGGCAGGGGACTGAAAGTTTGAGGCCAGTTTGGGGTGTATAAAGAGTTGAAGACCAGCCTGAACTATATTGTGAGACCCTGTCTGAAAAAAACAAAGCAAAATAAATAAATAAATAAATCCATCATATCTTAGGATAATATTCTCCATTAGCCAGCTACACAGATGACGGATATCTATTTTGTATGGAGTGGTAAAATATTGCAACTTCCTGTTCTTTCCTGCCCAGGCAGTGACTCAGCCTTTTTCCATCTTAGCTGTGCTGTACAATCTACCTGCCATTTCTAGCTCATCTGCCTAAGCTAGTGCTCCAGCACAAGCGACCATTATTTTATGTAGTAATGGCCCCAAGGAATAAGAATGCTGATTCTAGCAATTCAGATATGCCAAGAAGAAGATGTAAAGTACTTCTTTTAAGAAAAGAAAGGAAGAAAGGAAGAAGCGAGGGAGAGAGGGAG